CTCTTTCTAAAAATCCAGGCCAATACAGAGGACCTTGTTCTGTCCCAGAAACCCTTTCTTACCTGTGAACTAAGAAACTAGACCAGATTAGAAGCTCACAGAGTGTACGAGGGACTTCAAAAAGTTCGTGGAAATTTTCAGTTAAAGTCCAAGTTTATTTTGGTGTAAAAATTTTGAAATTCATGAATAGCTTTTTCATGGTATGCTGTTAATTTTTTGAAGTCCATTTATATTATTGCTTTAGAATCAGCTTTATTAATAAATCATTTGTATGTTTTAATAAGGTTTTTGCGTTAGGGTACATGTGCTCACTGGAGAGAGAGAAAGAGACAGTGAGAGGGAAAGTGAGATATCAGCCCCCGGGGGGATGGCCATGCCACAGGCCCTTCTCCTGCCGGGATCTTGGCCATGCATGCACACACACCCAGTGTGAGTTTCAAGCTGCTGGGCCCAAAACTCGAACTGGGGTCAGCCATGTGGGGGTCCAACCCCTTAACCTCTTCACCACTTCTGGCCCCAGTACATCTTTGTTTTTTAAACTATTGTTGCTGTTGTTACTAGAGGGCACGTGTGCTCACTAAGAGAGAGAGAAAGAGGAAGAAGCAGAAAGCATTCCCCTCATAGGGCACAGTCATGCCCCCATTTCTTCACCCTGCTGGGATTTGGGGTACACGCACACACATGCCCACCATATATTTCAACCTGCCAGTGCTGGGATTTGAACCACAACTGGCTGTCTGGGATCTGGCTTCCTTAACAACCAGCCACGGAGTTGCCGTTTTTTTTTAATAGAGATTTTTTTGTATAATGTGCATGCGCACACCAGAAAGACAGAGACAAAAAGCGAGAAATCACCCCCCAGGGAGATAGCTACGCCACAATCTCTTTTCCTCTTGGAATTTTGGGCACACACACACACACCCAGCCTGAGTTTTAAGCCACTGGGTCTGGACTCAAACCATGGTTGACTATGTGGTAGTCCAGCGACATAACCATCATGCCATCTGCTGGTCCCTGTAAATCTTTTTTAATGGATTAAGAATAGGAAACCTTGCCCAAGATGCATGTAGATTCAGACACACCCAGAGATGCAAGTTTGTTTGTTTGTTTTTGTAAAGAGATATTTTTTTCTGTATCCTTTAGGTTGTTTTGTTTTGATTGCCTTTTTTTGTTTCTAAATTTTTATTCGGTGCTTGTTCTCACATCCACAGAGCTTGAGAAGTGTAAGTAAATTTTTTTCTCCCTTCTTGGACAACATCCTCCAAATTGGCAGTAACATTTTAACGGCAGCATCTCAGTGTCCATGGTACAGAAAGGAGAGAAACAGATTATGTGTATGTGTGCGTTACAGATCGCGTTTCCAATTTTGGCAATTAGCGTCACCCTTAAAACAAAAGCTCTCTTAAGTGAAGGAGGAAAGCAACAGCAAAGAACTCATGTAGATTCAAAGTAGGGCCCAAGGTAGCCTTCAGGAGAGGGGTACTTATCTCCCTTCTTCATAGAAGCTACAGTGCCGGTCATTTTCTTCATTCATCTGAACGCTGAGCTAGAAGTACTGGACCTCTTTCACGCCACTCTGTAACTACTGTCGAGCCCACGCAGTGTTAGAATTGAGGGTCGTTGGCAGTGCGTTGAGCAGACACAGGCACGTACTCTTCTGCACACATTTCTGAGGTGTCATTCCTAACCACGCTGAATCGAGCTTCTCTGTACACGTAGGATGCGTGGATGTGAGTATGTACCTGTCTTCCCTTGGGAAGAGAAGGCTGAAAAATTCGAGTCTACCTAGGACCCCATCTTTACCTGAAAATGGGTTGTCAATAGATTTAGAAGGAAATAAAGTAGCCCTTTTCTTTTCTTCCAAGAGGGCTAAGGATAACAGGGTAGAGGTATAGCAGAGGTGCACAGGCTGTGAAAAGCCCCAGGTGAATGCTGTCTCGGTGTTTGTGTTTACAGTGCTCTTCATAGCTGCCACGACATAGTCCTCCGGAGAAGCTCCCTGGGGAGTTGGGGGTTTAGTATTGTTGGTGGGTACGAAGAGAACCACGCCAATCAGCCTTTCTTCATTAAAACGATTGTCTTGGGAACTCCTGCTTACTACGATGGAAGATTAAAGTAAGTCTTAGTCCGGTAAGACTCATTACGCGATTCGTGTTTAATATGCTGGACGTGGACTACACTGAGGGTCCGTACCAATCCAGCCCGGCTGTTTTCGTGAAGGAAATGTTTGGTTATACAAAGCCGCCCTCACTCGTTTACTCCCGCCTGTGGCTGCTTCCACGTGGCAACAGCAGAGCCGAGTCCTCCTGGCAGAATGGTTCACAAAGCCTAAAATATTTACCATCTGGCCCTTCACAGAGAAAGTCTGCCAGCCGCTGATGTAGCCTGAAGCATTACTTTTACCATCCTGTCACTTACAGCTATATTTATGATTCTAATGACAGGAACCAAACCTGAGTTGTGCGAATGAACAGAGCATGCCGTGATGGAGCTCTAGGAGCATGTGTCCCACACAGCCCCCTCAGGTCCAGCTCTGGCATTAGGTGACCGCTCTGCATTTCTCCACAGCACTCATCTCTCCCGAACGTTGTATTTACCTAAGTTCAACCAGGGAGGGTTTTGTTGCATTTATTGTTACATTCCTAGCAGCCCAGCACCTTGCACACAGGCAGATCGCAATAAATATTTGACAAGTAAATGTATAGTAACTTAACAGTGTGCTAGCCACAGAGGTGCCCGCTGTGCGTGCATCGTTTAATCTTAACAACCTGTGAGCTAAGTGCATTCCTATTTATTTTTTACAAACAAGATACCTGAAGCTTGGAAAGGCTAAGAAACCTGCCCAAGATCAAACAGGTGCAATAGGTGAGATAGGTCAGCTGACTTTCAGACCCAGGACTGTCTGGCTCCGATCCCTGGTTTCTAACCCTTCTGCCAACTACCACTGCTGGGCAGGAAATACTGCTCACCCATGAGCAGCTGCTTTCCTCTTTGAAAGTTTAGGTACCTGGAGAAGAAAGAGAAGGTCTCTGATCCAGAGATTAGCCCCAGGTTGCTTGTAAGTTCTTATTGCTTAGTTTTCAGTGGAAGAAAAAAATTTTAAAAAGTAAATGTTGGGCCAGTCCCTTGGCACAGTGGTTAGGCTCTGTGTAGAAGAAGCTGCATTCCATATGGCCCCATGAGCTTCATGTCAGTTACACGTGTATGTGAGCCCGGGATCCTGGCAGGATGGAGAATTGGAAGAAAAGGATTGCCACGGCCCACTGGGAGCTGGTTTTTTTCCTCTCTCTCTTTCTTCCTCTCTCTCTCCTTTCCCCTCTCTCTGTCTCGTCCTCTTCCCCTCTCTATTCCTCTCTCTCTCCTGTGCATGCCCCCATTACATTTTTTTAAGTAAATACTGACACACTAGACAGAGTACTCCACAAATGGAGGCTTACCTGTTAGCAAAGAGAAAGCGACATCCAAATAACCCTGTGAAAGGTGATCAGTAGTATGCTCCAGATCAGTCTATGTTGAAGGCTTTTTGAACAATCATTAATTTAGGGAAAAAATAGTAGGGAGGGAAATGAATCAATTGATTGTCCTTTTAGTTACTCAGCCAGTCTGGGCCTAGTTAATTAGTTCATAGAATATATTTTCCAGCTATTTCCAAAAAGGAATTAAAGTAGTTACCAATTAAATAGTGTACTCATTCATGGATCAATGCTATTTAGACTTAGGATCAAAAATAATGATTGGGACCAGCAGTTAGCGTAATGGCTATGTTGCTGGACTCCCACGTAGTCGACTGCAGTTCGAGTCCTGGACCCAGTGGCTTAAACTCACACCGGGCACGTGTGTGTGTGTGTGTGTGTGTGTGCCCAAGATCCCGAGAGGAGAATGGAGGAGAAGGGATTGCGGCGTGGCCATCCCCCCTCGGGGGTGATTTCTCGCTTTGTATCTCTCTGTCTGTCTCTGTCTGTCTGGCAAGCGCACTCGCCCTATAGCAAAAACCTCTCCAAAAAAAGAAAAAAATAATAATGATTATTCTGATCATTGTAATCATAAGGCTAGAAAGGTCCTCAGATTAATCATCTATTTGTAATAATTCTGCTTAGAGGACAGTGTGTATCAATAACTGAAAGAAGAGGAAGTTTGGGTCTTATTTTTATTTAACTTCAACCCTCAGATTCATGAGCTCTAAAAATAACTGGAGAAATAAGAGTCAGAATAGTGACCAACCCCCTCCAGATGCATTATTTTGTATTTTTTTAGAATACATATTTACTCTCTTATATTTTGTTTAAGCTAGTATGCAAATTGTTCTGCTTGCCCTTGAAATTCACCTGCCAGTTATAGGAGGGTTGGCACAGGCTAGTCTTGATTGGCAGGGGGAGGCCAGCCTAGGCTTACGGACTGTCTCTGATGTTGCTCTAAGTGGAAGATGCACCCTCGTCACAGTGAATCCGTACAGGGAGTTGCAGCTTTCATGCTAAATAAATATCAATGCGGATAATGTTTGTAGTGCCATGAAGAGAGTAACAATCTGTTTCTGCTTCTGTTTGCCTTTGTCCAGATGTGGAGACATGATCGTGGCTGTGAACGGCCTGTCTACCGTGGGCATGAGCCACTCTGCGTTAGTTCCCATGTTGAAAGAGCAAAGGAACAAAGTCACTCTGACAGTTATTTGTTGGCCTGGCAGCCTTGTATAGAATTTGGAAATTGGTTTCAAGTCATGCATTTTCCTTACTTTTATTTTTTGGTTTTTGAAAGAAAACCATTTGGTCTCATTGTGTTTCTGGTTGTTGGGAGCTACTGACACAGCTGGTATGTTCTGGGCCAAAACCCACTAAACTTGTGTCTTTGTTTTTAATTTAAATGGTTTCCTAAAGTTAGACACATTTCTTTTAGCTTAGAAACAGTGTTCCACTAACCCTCGTGAGCTCACATTTTCAGCATTCAGACCCTGTGCTGTCAAGTGTTCCCTGTGGTAATGACCAAAGCCTGCCCAACCTGTGACCAGCCAGCTGGATTAAAGAACCTTGGGTGGTTCTTTGTTTTCACTAAGTATATCCTAAAATGAGTTCTATATCCCCAGACTGATGTCAGGGAAGCCAACACGAATAGCATTTACTGCCGCTTCGCAACCAACGCCTCGAATGAATACATCTAGACCTAGGTGGTCACCGTTCCCCGTTTTCCACTGGTGCCAACATTTCAAAATGTCCTATGTTCATAGAGTGACTTTCTAGTTTATTTTATTTCGACTATAATCTCTAAGTACTCATAGATGAAGATATAAAGCTAACACTACTAAAGAGATTTTAAGAAAATCCTGTACCGCCGTTAGAATAGTAGAGAATAAAAGATAATATGACCCCGTGACAAGGAACATGGAAGGGAGTCACAGTTTCGTACTGGAGATGCTAGAAGCCGCATTTACTTGAATAGTCCAAAAGCATTAAAGATTCATTTCCAAAGGAATGTTTTGTTACGTAGGAAAATTTTGAAGCAGGTTTTGCTAAAAATCATTTCTAGGGTTTGTATTATACTTAGCAATTTCAACTGAAAACGTTTTTGTGACTTCTGCAACTCAGCTAGATGATAAAAATAAAACCACCTTGCTGTTAAATGCACACACATACATCACCGCTTAGTAGAAGGGAGACCTTTTTATTTTATTCAGAGAAGAGTCTTTCTCGAGTGTTTTAAACACCCTGATTTTTCCCGTGATTTGTTATAAACATAATTGTTTAAAGGGACTGAAAAGCCCTTTCTTTTGAATGTGACACGGTAAGTTTTAGAGGCTGTTATCTCAGCCATCTCTTGGTCTCTATTCTATTCATAGTTCTCTAAATGTTTTTGAAAACCGCGTTTAGCCCGTCTCGTTGCCCTTTATTCCACATGGTTGTCCTTTGGAGGACACATAAAGATGTAATAAGTCTCTTTACCTGATTAATATTATGCATACTTGAAAAACACTGATTTAGAAACCTAGTACAGAACCTGAGCTAATTTACAAGTGACCTCTGTGACCTCTGTAAGAAATGGCATTGATCATCAGAGAATGTATTTGACAATACTGCGATATATTCTGAAGCATGGCCACGTTTCTTCCCAACTTAGCAATTGCATTGCTGGGCTCCGTTGTATCTGTAGCACGTCACTGCTGATTCCAGGTAGTTTTATAATGTTTTTTTTTTTAAAAAAACATACAATATTGGAATATAAATAAGAAATGAGAACAATAGTTGCTACTGTCTTGTTCAACCCCTTAGCTACACACTGTATAATCAACATGTAACCAAGATACAGTGGGACGCCCCATACAGTATATTACTGTTGTGATGGTTGGCTTTTGAAGCAGTTTGATATGCTTTCATATTTTAATTGACATGGAACAAGCTTTTTTCCTGCTCCCCAGATAGAATTTTATAACCGACTTTGCTATTTTTTTAAAACAGTTTGTAAGAAAGTCATTTCTTGGGGGGGTGGCCATCCAACAACGTAAATCCTAACTTTTACTTAGTTATACATATATATAACTACTTTGTTTTATATTTACATTGAATTGGCGACACAACTAGTATTTTGAAAGAGGAAAATTGTTTTCAATATTGTTTTTATCATGGAAATCTCGGAATTAACTTAAGCTATAGGTTTTGTGACCAAAAAACTATAGCTTTTGGTCAGAATGATATTTGGTGATGGAAACGTGTTCATTAATTTATTGTCACTGTTGAAATATTTGGATTTTCTCATTTTAAACTCTTACAGTTAAATATTTTGATTTGTCTGTGCCTTCAGTTTAAATTATTTCAGGATTTTTCAGACATGTTTAAATAATGGTGTGATAATCATTCAGGGTGAAAATAAAAGTCATCCTTTCCAAAATAGCAACCTTGTCTCTCGTTTTTGAACAGCAGATGTAATTCAATCAGTGGTTTTTGTTTTTTTTTTTCCCCCATGGCACTACTGTCCTTATCATCTACCAGGCTAGAAACCCCTGCATCACAGCTCAACTCTTATGCTCCTTCCTTAGAGCACAGATGGTTTCCAGTCTTGGAATCTTTACCCACCCAGTGTCGCTAGACCTGCACTGGCGCTGGCCCAAGTGTGGCTGCTGAGTATCTGAGATGTGGCTAGGGCTTCATGTAGACATGATAATATCTTAGGCCCTTTGAGCTGTCTGAAATGTGTTATTCAATTCACTTCACTGGTTCCTTTTTCCTTTTTCTTACGTTGTTCATAGAACAGCATAAGGGGGATGACACGAGTTTCCTGACTCTGTATTGTCACTGCATTTCCCGAATCAGTGTCACACGATTTCTGTTCTTCCCATGGCTTTGACCATTCTCTGCATTAAAAAATAATAATAATGACGGGAACTAGCAGTTAGCGTAATGACTATGTCGCTGGACTCCCATGTAGTCGACCGCGGTTCGTGTCCTGGACCCAGTGGCTTAGAACTCACGCTTTGCGCGTGCGTGCCCAGGATCCCGAGAGGAGAATGGAGGAGAAGGGATTGCGGCGTGACCATCCCCTCTGGGGGGTGATTTCTCGCTTTCTGTCTCCGTGTCTCTCTCTGTCTGGCGAGTGCATGCACCCTATAGCAAAAACCTCTCATAATAATAATAATAATAATAATAATAATAATAATAAAAAGAAAGGACAAAGCTGTCTCCTTGATTTCCTGGTAAATTAAGTTCAATCCAAGGCCCCTGTGGTCTGCCCCCGATCCACTTTCCACATGGCTCCGCAGTCCCGTTTACTCTCTGTTATACCAGCATGCTCCACAGACGGCCCAGTTCCTGCCTGCAGCCCTGGCTTGCAGTAGGGCTTTCCCTGCTCTGCAGAGTTGTACCTGGAGGCGGGGCCTGAGAGCTGCCTGCCTGTCTCCCGCTCAGCTTCGTTCCTTTGTTCCAGAGGATCACTCTACTGTGACGCACGTCAGTAGAACTCCATCTTGCCATCACTGTGGCCCAGACCATGTAGCACTTAATCACGGTCATAGTTTAGTGCCACTTTTGACAGCCACCTTGTGGTTTTCACTATCACCGATGCCCTAAGTCTCTAGGGCCCACAACCGTAGACTGGAGATTCTGTTGCTTTAAGGCCCCTAGCTCTGAGCTCCAAAACCGAAATCCGTTTCCCCAACCATTTGCTTGCTTCCAGTCTCTCCATCTTCCGCTC